CCTTGCTAAATTTTGATATAACTTATGCCTTTTCTAACCCAAGCCTTACCCTAACTCTAACCTTAACCGTGAAGTTTGATTTTTATAAAAAAAATTGGTTTGATATTTATGTTGTACCTGATCTTAGTTACGGTTACAGTAACCTATAGTTACAAATTTATTAATTCTTAATTGAATCTATATTGATAATTTTATTTATACGTATACTATAGTATATAAAACATATGTATATATACAGTATATACTTTAAAATCTTATTAATAAATAGTTTGTAGATTTTAAAAAAAAATTTAATATATTATAAATTATATTTAGTTCAAATTTTAAATTTTAATCCTAATTTAATTTTAATTAATTTAATTTTTTTAACAATTTAAATATATATATAGATTTATAAATTACTGTATATTAATACTATATATAAATAATAAATAGTGATTTTAAAACAAAAATTATTTAATTTTCTTTAAAGATTTTTATAATTATATATAATTATTTAATTAATATATAACAAAATATGGATATTTATAATTTATACCAGGGGATATTGATATCTAGGATGCTATATCTCAATAAATTAACTAAAAACAGGGGTCAGGTATACTAAGTAAAAATGTTCAGAACCTCAAAAACTTTGTGTAATCTAAATTTAGACCTTTATATCTAATTCCTAATCTTTATATCTGATCTCTATTTTAGTATATAATTGTACCCTAATCTTAAATTTTAATATAAATATATTATAAAAATAGGAGTAAATATTAGTGATCACTAGTAAAAACAATATTTTTTACAAAATATATCTAATTTTATATAAATTTTTTATTTTTAGTATACTTTAAATTATATTAAATTTATATTTTATATATATACTGTATTTATTTTTTTTGACAGTATTTTTAATTACATATGACACACTTGCGATTTCTCTGTATTTAGTTATCAGAAGTTATCAGGATCGAATGATTTACCATCATTTAATTCGTCTCATTGAGACGAATCGAATGATAAAATCACTTTATAGATTACTGGATCTCAGGTGCGTCATTATACACCACTTAGCCTTGTGTACTCGTGATTAGAATCAAATGATTTTGGATTATTCGCCATGATACTTTTTTTTTACGTATATATATATATATATTTTAAAAAAATCAAGAAATTCTTTTTACGTAAAATAAAAATTTGGTTTATTAACATTCTACGTACGTATAATTGAGATTTTTTTCAATTGATAATTTTTTATTATCAATTTACTATATAGGGACTTTGCAGTAGAAAGGGCCTAAATGCCACGTATATACAATATATATATAGCATTTAGGCCTTTCTACGTACTGCAAAGACCCTATATAACCTACGCCCCGGTTTGCTTGGCATTTGTGAACAATACAAACGCCCAAGAAAGAGAGTAAGTGAAATTTTTACATATTATTTTAGATTAGGCTACATAAAATCTAGCACGTGTAAAAGAAGAAAAAAGAAACAAAGAGAAAGTGCTTACGTACGTACGTACTTGAAAATAAATCAGTGTTGGGGTATTGGCGTATTAATTGCAAATAAATAAAATTTTACAAATAGTATACGTGTACGTACGTAGTTTACTCCTATAGCCCTGAAACCAATGTTTTTAACCCTAAATTCAACTTACAAACATATTTTATATTAAATTTCCTTTTGGAATTGTGTATAACTTGCGCGTATAAGTAAACCCGGCTCATTAGTTCGTTGTTTGTAGTACTTAAATGTGCGTACTCACGTAGACACATTATAAGGTAAGTATAACCACATGGTATTTGAGTAGATAGATTTCAATTTATACTAAAGTGAAAATTTATGCATAAATACGTAAGCATATACATGCGTTGCATTGCATTAACCAATAATATTTATCTTATCATGATTTTAAAGTTGAGTCCGAGGCTAATTAAATCTCGATCCTTGGAATCGGGTCAGTTCGGATCGAACGTTTAACAACCCCAGCCATAGATAATAACAAACATTTCAGCACTTTCAGCACTTGTAGTACGTAGTACTTTATTTAAGGGGTATAGCGATAGCGATAGTATTTTATTTAAATGTGAGACTACATACGCGGTCTAAATGGTACTATGCTAAAAAACAGAGTAAACTCTTTAAACGATGATCAATGTAAGATCGCGGAGACACTAAACGTTAAGTAGGAAAATTATTAATTAATTCTCATCAATCACAAGAAAGTTAAAAGTTTAGAATATTAGCAACTATATGTATTTTTATGATAGGTTATATAAAATTTGGATATAGCGATAGAATTTGGATATGGATTTAGGTATAAAATTTAGATATATAGTACGTATAAAATTTGGATATATATTATAAAATTCGGATATATATTATAAAATTGGGATATAGATGTAGAATTTGGATATATGTACGTATACTTGGATAAACCTTAATTAGTATATTAATAGTAAAGTGATAAGTTATGTAAAATACTCGCCGACGAAAAAATAATTCACATGCATTATCATTATACAAAAAATTAAACTATGAGATTACGTAACTAAAAAATATCAAGTCCGTGTGTGAAGTTCAATCACCGATGTTAAAATAGAATTGATGTAAACAGTGATGAATAGGCGATCAGGCTATTATTGAATATTACTAAATCAGCTAATGTGTATGTGTATTACACCGGAACGACACTGGTACTGCTTCATGTCGAATGACGCCAAACAGGCTTGCCTCCTGTCTTTCTGATTATCTTAGATTTTAAAGCAGACCTTTGTAAACGTACGTATATGTATATAGCTGCATTACATATAACATTTCGCACGCCAATCTATTCTAAAAGGCATATCGCCAATTCATCAGTAGTAGAATCTTGGCAACTATAATATTTCATATGCACAATAAGAATACTTTGATAATTAGATGCAGGAACATGTTCTGTTTAATTTATTATGTTTGAATCGAGAAAGTTCGAGCGCAAAGTCGATCTAATTATGAAAGATGAGATAAAAAAGACTGATATCACATGGAGATCTGTATTCTTTTTAGGCCCTGTGTAACAACGACATGTGCACATCATCATGTGAGAATCTTAGATGTGATGTATAGTCATGTATCACTAAATTATTCGTAAGCTATTAGATTCGGTTACGGATCTTAGGTGTGATGTATAGTCATGTATCACTAGATTACTTGAAACCTTTATTAGGCCCAATTAGCAATGAGTATGTGTATAATATGCAAATCCCTTAGTTTGATACGTCATATAGTATTGTTATATGTTTAATTTGTCATGAAATGGGAAAGCTCGACCTTTCAGGAGGCTTTTAAAAAATTTTCTCAATTGTTCATACATGATTGTTGGGTTCGCCATCAGACATATACATTCTTTGCTTTGTAATTAAAACTTTTATGGGTAAGTGTAAATAAGTGTAAATATTCAATATTTGTATTAATTAAACTATATTCCCCTTAGTTAATTTATGTCTACCCTGTTACACAATGTTACACAAACATTTTACCCGAAATTTCACGACAAGTATCACCCGAAAATCTTAATAAATCTTAATAAAATCTTAATAAATCTTAATGATGGCGGGAAATTTCAAATAAGAATGTTATCAATAGGATCTACATAAATCGGATTTCTCACTACATATTAATTATTTTATTTTACTGTATTAAGTTTAAATAATCGAATTTCCTATTTTGACTTTCGTACGTTTCTGATGGATCTCTGCACCTGCATACGTACAAATAGTTGGGTTAAATGTTTCAGTTGACTAAACTTAATCCAATACTTTTATGGAAATTATTATCATTTTTTCGTAAATAATATTACTACGTAACTTTTAAGACTACGTATTACTTACTCATTGAATTATTGATGTTTCTGTGTTTTTGAGTGGTTATGTTCTATGTATGTCTATGTTTAGTTTTATCCGTTAATAAATACTGAATTTCATTAAAAAATATCATTTTGTATATACCGACTATTCACTACGTATGTTTCTTTAAATGTGGAATTTGATAATATTACGCGTCACATCGTAACATTTTTTTCTAAATCTTATAAAGCAACTTTGTGTGTGACTCGAAAAGATTAGCCGATAACTTCAGCCATCATCTTTTCAATGTAAATTATGTTACTCTGCTTACTTCACGCATGGGAAAATATCTTATCAATCGATAAAGATTAAATTCCATTTTCTTATTTCAAACAATATAAAAAAAAAAAAAAAAACAAACCTCAGTCAAATTATAAAAGGATCTGTTTAAAGAAATATTCCTCTTTCGAACGAGATTTTTTGTTTTTCGGAAAACTAACTATTTCATTCTGTATATTTGTATATTTTTTTTGCACTAACGTTTTCTTTTTTATGAGAGTTCATTTAGCATTCATCAACCTGTAAATAACACGACAATGGCTCAAGCGTTCCCCCCTAAGGGCGAAGACTTTTACATAAAGTCTGCTACTTCCCCTTCGGGTACTTCCACGTCTTCCTCTCCACAAAATTTAGTGGTCGATGTTGAACGTGGTTTTTTCATGACTTGGGGTGCAATTAAAGATGGATCAAAAGTTGTGGTTGCTCCACAAAAAAGCGCCACAGAACATGATGCTTGTCAACTTTGGCATTATGACGACGGTTGGTTGATTAATAAACAAACAACCTTATGTCTGGAAGCTGAAAATGGTAGGTTTATATTCATACATTAAAAAAATCATCTTTTTTTTGATGTAATTCTTTGTAATTCTTTGTAATTTGTGAGTAATTTGTGAGTTTTTGTGAGTAATTTGTGAAAAAAATTGCAAATTGCGAGCACGTGCATCATCGCAAAGATAATCATTGAACATCTACCCGGAGAATTTTCTTACCGGGAATTCGGTAAATCCACCGGGAAATTTTGTTAATCCGAGCATCCTTTATTATCTTTTCTATAGAGAAAGCAGGACAACGTCTCAGCCTTTATCACAGGAAAAGTGGAGGTCAAGCCAAAAACCAGAGGTGGATTCTTACCAAGGAAGGGCGTATTGCATTACAACATCAACCAAAATTTGTTCTTGAAGTTAAAGAAAAAAACAAACATGTCGAACTGGCCGATAGTTCATCGAAAAACTTCAAAAATACCCCAGCTTCTCAATTTATTCTGTTACCAATCCATCCTGTTAAGAAATGTAATTTTTATACTTTATATATTTGGTCTTTATGTTTCGTTCTTTTTTTTTTTTTTTTTTTTTTAATTCTCAATTAATTATTATTATTAGTTGGTTCCGCCATTGGTGTGATTAGATTAGAATTGGTAGAAGCTAAAGGCCTAAAAAGTGTCGATTCTTTCCTCGCTGGTGGTAAATATATAATATAATGCCAATATAATTAATCTCATTCAAATTAAATATTCAATCAATTAATTAAATCTTCAATCAATTAATTAAATCAATTAAATCAATTAGGCAAATCCGACCCGTATGTTCGAGCATTTTGTGCGGGTAATACTAAGGACATTATCGCTCAAACAAAAGTCATTGACAACAACCTGAATCCAGTGTGGAACGAAGTTCACTATCTTCCTGTTAAAGGTCTTGGTGAAAAGTTCATGTTGGAGGTGATGGATTTTAACACTTTTACAAGAGATAAACCACTTGGAAGTTGTAATCTTGAAGTTACTCGTGAACTTGCCAAAGAACTTCCTGATGGTACTTTTGAAGGCACTCCAAACGGTATCGATGTGTAAGTGTAATTTTTATTAATAAAAATTTTTTAAAAAAAAATCTTTGTTAAATCTGTTAAATCATTATATTAAATCATTTTTACTAAATTATTATACTAAATCATTAAACTTTTAGCTGGGTAAAACTTACTACACAAGGACAGATTCATTACAGAGCTAAATTCTTCCCCTTGGAACCTCTTCCAAAACCTACTCCTGATTTCCTTGCTAATCTTAAGGAGAAACCTTTTGATCGTTCAACATTTTACAACCTTATCACCTTACAAGCTCCAAATGGTGGTTTCCCTCCTTCTGATAAATTAGCCAATCTATTCGGTTTTGAATCTCAGGAACAACTTTTAGAATTATATAAACGTCAATGCCGTGAAGATCGTATTTTAAAA